ACAAAGACATTCTTAAGGTCTCTCTAAAGAACTTGAGAATCTATTGTGAGAATGGAAGACACTGGCGCGGGACCACCCGGCATGGTGTGGGACCACGCGGCATGGCGTACCCACATCAAATAAGGCACTGTGCTCTGTGAGCTAAGCAGAATTGCAGTAGCTCAAAGGGAACATGAGATGTACAGATTTAGAAACCTCTCCACTATAAATATTCATATAGACTATTTGTACCTGACCTGTGGGAGAGTCTTCTAGGCTCATATTAGTTTGGTCAGTGACAAATGGACACACTGTACCCTGACCCCAACATAGTGATTTTATTTTGGTCCTCTTTAAGCATAAAAGATAAAAACCAACTGGCTAGAACCCTGGGCCTGGAGTTAGGAAGACCTGAGTTCAAATTTGGCCTCAGATATTTACTACCTCTGTGAGCCTGGATAGGTCATTTAATCTCTTGGTGCCTCAGTTTCCTCATATTTGTAAAATGAGGTTAATAATAGCATCTACCTCTCAGAGCTGTTGGGGGAGCAATAAAGATAATATTTGTAAAGAGCACTTAGCACAGTGCCTGGTACATAGTAGGTGCTATATACATGTTTAATCCTTTCCACTTCTCCCTAAAGAACATTAGACTAGAGGCAGAGGCTACAGCCTTCCTCAGGCCTGAGTTTCAGAGTTGTTAATGCTCATTATCAAAAGACAATAAAAACCTACTGCTTACCATCTGCCTTCTAACTTATTATAGCTGTTTCCTTTGTTTCCTCTTTCCTTTATCACAAAATCCTGGGACATAGATAAAATAGGTATTTTCTAGAAACCTTGAGTGGTTTGACCAACAGGTTGGTGTTAGAACTGTACCTTTCTAAAGGTACAGCCATTCTTCTTTGCAGCATATCTAAGAAAATTTTCTTAGTTTTCCTTGATTTGATTTGCTCTTAATTTGTCTGCTGTTAATCTTCAGTGCCTTGAACACTTTCGCATTTTTACAGATAGTGGCTTGCTCAGGGCCACATGGTGTCTGAGACAGGATTGGAACTAAGGTCATGCAGACTCCAAGTCCAATACTATCCATGTGCCACCTAGCTGCCTAAATAGATGAATAAATTGTTAAAGCACTACTATTTAGAAGGATTTATTCTCTGGATGTTCCACATACTCAATTTTACTCTACCAAGGGTTTGAGCAACAAAATAATCCAGGCATACCAAAGATGCCCAGGTGGCTGAAGTATTATATCTGCTATATATGTGATTCTGCCTTTTCAGCCTGATATTTGCTAGCATGTTTATTCTCCACCACAAAACTGCTTTGCTCCTTGCCAAACCCTGACTCACATATTGTTTTGGTGCTATCTTGTATCCTCTTAATGAAGAGATAGATTGTGGAAGTTGAGAAGATTGATGAACTGGGAAGCAAGGGTGTTTCAGGGGACATCAACATTTAAACTCCATGTAAACACCATGTCTCCAGTGAGAAGGTCAGGAGCTAGTCATTACAAAATGCTGTGAGAACAAAAACCCTGAGAGACAACATTCCTGGGTAATTAATGATCAACTTATTAATTAGGCTAGCCAGCAATCAATAAGTTGATTGTCAGTGGTTTCTCTCAGTAACCAAAGTTACCAAGGGAAACCCTGAAATGCCTTCAATCTCTTCTAATGGTGAACTCCCCCGACAAGTGATATTTAACCCTGACTGGTGGACACTTAATGAGGAAATGGGCTAAAAGTCTTCAGCTCCTCCTGCTGAAAGCATAATTTGATCTTGAGACTCAGCAGCCTCAAGGCATGTGGCCAGGGGAAGCCATCTTCATCCAACCTCTCTAGCTAGTTTTCTCCATCAAAAGCTGAGTTGCCCTGAGCTCTAATGGAAGGCTCCTCCTTCAGGCAAAGGCTTGCTCAGACTCGATTCTCTTTATACTCTAAACAGAAATTAAGTCTCCCAGTTTGGCTTGGTATCTTGAGGGCTATGAGTATGTCTCATCATTCAGCAATGCCCTTCAGAGGCTGGCTGACCTTGTCAGGAGTTGGCCCTTAACAGAAGGGAAAAGGGTGGATAACATATTAATAATTAGTTATTAATATAATAGTATAATATTAATTTTTCTCAATGCTTAATGACCTTTTCTTTCATTTTTGGCTACCCTATCCCTCCCCTCACCCTCTTCCACCCCCTTAACTGAAAAACAAAAAACCAAAAACCAAACCCTTGTAACCAATATGTATATTCAAACAAAACAAATTCCAACACTTGTTGTATCTGAGAATATATGTCTTATTCTGCATCTTGAGTGTAGGGTGTAATCTTTTTTTTTTTTTTTTGGTGAGGCAGTTGGGGTTAGGTGACTTGCCCAGGGTCACACAGCTAATAAGTGTCAAGTGTGGGAGGCCGGATTTGAACTCAGGTCCTCCTGACTCGAAGGCCAGAGCTCTATCCACTGCACCCCTTAGCTACCCCATAGAGGGTATAGTCTTGAAACAGTGTGTCTACTGTTCTGGCCATCAGGGTGTCTAATACTAGTCTTGATTTAAGAAAAAATTTCCTAATAAGTCTTTCAAGGTGGACAGGGCTGCTTCAGGAGGTATTGATTCTTCCCTAATGAAAGATCTTTTTAATTTAAAGTTTTATAAATATTCATCTTTGTCCTTGTATTTCCAATACTTACACATGCTTGGCACATAGAGGAAGTAGTTAATAAATGCTTGTTGAATTTAATTGTTTATTTATGCATTGAGATGTTGACATCATTTCCTACTCACCCTTCTCCCTCCTAAAACCCTGTCTTCTAATAAAAAAAATACAGTTTATAAAGTTATTCAGATTTTAATAAATATCCCTCAAAAAAGTTTCCATAAATGAAGTAGAACAGAAAATATATATATATAAAAGTACACATCTCTATTATGTACAGCTTGCTTTTTTAAAAGTATATAATAATTATTTTAGTCAGTGTGAAAATTGATTATTTCACTATTCTTCAGTTTGTACAACTCTTCCCAAATATATCACAGATCTTCAAAACAAAGGCTGGATGGCCAATTATCCATTACTTTATAGTAGGGAATTATTTTTCATAAGTAGGTTGGAGTAGGTGGACACTGAATACTAAAAATGTATGATTTTGTTACTTGGTGTTTGACTGTGTAACAAAATCTTTCATTTATGATCAGTTATATTTCCTATGGGCATATCCTCTTCTAACTCTGGCATTCTTGCCCTCGCTTACGTAAGTCCTTGTCTTCCCCACCTTACTCGTATAAATCTATGATTCAATCCCCTTGACTGGCCCACTTAGTATCCTCGACCTGCTTAGTTATTTGAAAATTATCTGTACATTTCCATGAGAATTTATCCAATGACATCTTTGGAATAAAAGGAGCAATATTAAAACTGGATAAGAGGGAATCTTAACTTGCTAAGTGTCTTAATCCCTTTTTGAAAACTGATAGACTTTTTTTTTGGATATATCAGTCACTTCTCAACAACCCCCTTCCATTTTCTGAGAGAGTTCTAATACAGAGGTTCTTCACCTTTTTTTTTCATGGATCTCTTTGACAGTCTGGTGAAAAGCGCTTTTCTCAGAATAATGTTTTTAAATTCACAGAATTTACAAAGGAGACCAATTTTGTGAGGTATCTAGTTTTAAGCTCATAACTTACAACTGCACTATGATTTTGGGAATACCTCGTAATGAAATAGTTACCAAAATGTTTTTAAAAAAAAAAGTTCACAGACTCCAGGTTAAGAATCTATACACTAGGGGCAGCTAGGTGGTGCAGTGGTTAGAGCTCTGGCCTTGGAGTCAGGAGGACCTGAGTTCAAATGTGGCTTCAGACACTTGACACTTACTAGCTGTATGACCTTGGGCAAGTCACTTAATCCTGACTGCCTCACCAAAAAAAAGAATCCATGCACTAATAGGAGATTTTTACTTTCATCAAGCTTGAATTTGTCTCTGCAATTTACTAGTTCTGCCCCCTGGGGCCAATAAAAGTAATAATAGAATCCTTCATCCACAGTCTAACCTTCCATATTCTTGAAGGCTACTGTCTTGGCCTTATGTTTTCCAGACTAAAACCCCCTCTGTTCCTTAAACTAATCCTCACGTAGCATAAACTTGAGGTTTTGCATTTTTTTTTTCATTTTTCTCAAATGGAAGCTCCAGCTGACCAGATTGCTTTCTAAGATGTGGCACCCAGAACCGAAAACGTCAGAATTGTTGTCTGATGAGGTCAGAGTACAAATGGACAGAGTACAAATTTCCTAGTCTTATTGTTTCCAGAAGGTACAGCTAGGTCCTAATTAGTACTAATTATAATGAGTCCTGTAGAGCGGTCACATCATTCAAATTTGCATTTCGTATTTCCATGGGGCTGGAGCCAGGCATCATATTTACAAAATGCTGTCTTTGAATATCACTGCAAATTCAAATACCACATCAATTCAAAAACTACTTCACAGGATTCATTATTCACACTAATCAGAATCTAGCTGTATGCTATTCTTAATGCAGCTTACAATTGCATTAGCTTTTTTGTTGCAATATCACACTTGATTCATTGAACTTATGGTCCACTAACCCCGTGCCCTCTCTCTCTTCCCCCCTCCCAAAAGAAAAAGATCTTTTTCAGTTTCTTCGTATTGAATTCACGGAATGTTTGTGATCTGATACATATGGAACATAACTGCTGTTTGAGGTTGGGTTTTTTTGCATAAACTTTTTTTTAATTTAAAAACTTTAAATTTTAATTCTTTTATTGATGCCTTTTGTTTTTAACATCACCTTCACTTCTTAGTATTGGATTCAAATGATACCTTGGGTTTGACATAAATAGAGAATACCCAATCCTGGCCCTGTGTGTATTTTTGAAGCATTAAGACTATAGAATAATTTGAATATACATAATATATAATATTCTATAATATAATAAGCATAATAATATATAATATAATAACTATATAATAATAATTTGAACTGTTCCTTGATTCTCTTATGCCAGGTCTGTCCCTTCTACAACAGAGGCGATGGGCCCCATGGATCCTGCAACCTCCAGGATAATTGCACCAAGCTTCACATTTGTAAACACTTCATCTGGGGGGAGTGTAGATTTCAGAAGTGCAAGCGATCTCATGATCTACATGCAGAAAATGTGATGAAGTTGCTGAGGGAGCAAGGGCTGAGTCCCTCTGCCATCTTAAACATTCAGAGAATCTGCAAGTATAAACATTCAGAAATCTGCAAGTCCTTTGATAAGAAGAAAGGTAAGATTGGAGGGGCTACCATGAATAACAGTATGGAGATTGATTGATTGGTTTTTTTCTTTGCTGGACATTTGGAGAAACCTTCTAAGCCTCACGTTGCTTGGTCAATCTTAATTTTGTCCTTTGGAAAACTTGGCATGGCCACATTTAAGAAAATTCATAGCGTCATCTTTAGAGCTGGAAGGTTCATCTGCTCCAACCCCTTCACTTTATAGATCAAAAATCTCCAGGCCAAAAAGGTTTAAGTAGCTTGTCCAAGGTTACCTAGGGAGTCTTGTGTTTTGATTTTAAAAATTTGATTGATATCTTTTGTTTTGAATTCACCTTTATTTCAGAATCTAACTCTCCCCTCCCCCATCCAGGAAGCCATCCCTGATAGCAATGAGCATAAAAGAAAGGGGAAGCAGTTTGACAAAATTAACCAAATGTCATTGGGGACTGATGGTATGCAAAATGTTTTATAGCCGTCATCTTCCATCTCTGCAAAGATGTGAAAAAGGCACATTTTACTCAACTCTAGAGGCAAACTTAGTCATTCTACTCAGTCTCATTCCCCCCCTTTTTTTCTTTCTTTTTATGTTGTTATCATTTATATTGTTTTCTTGCTTTTTCTTGCTAAACTTAGCATCAGTTCATTTAAGTCTTCTCATGCTCCTTTCTGGAGAATGCTCTTCTTATTCTTCTCTTCCCATGAACTTCTCTCTTCTTCATTCATCATTTCTTACAATGCAGTGGTATTCCACGATATTCCATAATTTATTTAGCCATTTGTTAATTGATGGGCATCTAACTTGTTTTTAGTCCTGGGCAACCACAAAAAGTTCTTGGTTTATTATTTTAAGCTTTTTTTAATTGATATCTTGAGTGTGCTTTGACCACCCCCCCCAACATTTTATGTATATTGCAGCTATTTTTAAGGAGAACTTTCTTTTGATTATTTCCTCCTGGCTTTTGTTTTTTGTTAGATAGAAATGCTGGTGGATTTTTGTGAATTTATCCTGTATCTTGCTTCTTTACTGAGGTTATCTATTGTCTCAGTTTCTTTGCTGATTGTTTGGGTATCTCTAAGTAAATCATCATTTCATTAGCAAATAGGGATGATTTTAATTTCTTCTTTTCAATTTTTATGCTTTTAATATCTTTCTCTTGTTTTATTCCTATTGGAAACATTTCTAGAACAATGGATGATAACATTGGAGAAAGGAAACATTCTTTCATTTACTTCTGTATTTATTGGGAAATCTTACCCCATTGTTAATAATGCTAGCTTTTAGTTTGCTATGTACTTTTTATTATTTAGCATGAGTGAGTATTGTACTTAGTTAAAGGCCTTTTCAGCATCTATGAATAAAATCATATCTTTTGGTGGCATTTTAAAATATGATTTATTGTGTTAATTTTCCCCAATATTGAACTATTTTTATGTCTCTGGCATAAATCTGACTTGTTTGTAGTGAATAAGTTTTTGATGTTGCTTTAATCTTTTTGTTATGATTTTATTTAAAATTTTATATTAATATTCATTAGTCTTATTTGTATGTAGTTCTCTTTCTTTGCTTTATCCTTCCTATAGAGGTAGTAAGTAGCAGAGTTTTGGGTGCATATCCAGTGTTCTTTCTACCATACCACACTGTCTTTGTAGTTTGACCGCTTATCCCACAAACCAGTATTCTTTCTCTAATACTGCCACTGATGGAAGTCTTGTTTGAGTAGATGCACACAATTATCTTGAGCAAATTTCTCATCCAAAGGCCCTTTGATGCATTGGTTTTTCAATGAACTCTGCTAGAACTTAACTTTCCTTCTAATTACCCATCTTTCCGTTATTACTTGTAATGATTTTTTTCTAGCGGAGCTTTGGGTAATTATGTGTTGGTTGGTTGTTTTGTACTTAGGAAGTAGAAGTTATCATTTAGTACGGTACTCTGATTAATGTGTCTTTGCCGGGTACCTCACTTTTCTAAGAGTGTACATGCAGTGGCTCAGTGGCAATTAATCTAGAAATCCATCAATCATTTGGTGGCTTACCTAACCCAATCACCAAATCTCTTACATGACCTGACTGCAGGCCACATTCTAATATTTGCTCTTGATCTGTCAAGAAGCCTAAAAGAGATTTCCTGGTTGAAGGAGAAGCCACCGGAGTTTCCGGATTTCTTTACCTTGTCTCTTGCTGCTTTTGGCTTACTTGTTTTCTGAACCTCTTCATTGCTTTGTACCCTTGTATCCCTAACTGCTGTCTACTAGGAAAACTTCTGATTTTCTTTTGGCAATCTTCTTTAAGACATACTACTGATGTCCTCTCCTGGTTCTAGCTTTGAGCCTCTCCTTCTGTGACCCAATACTGTTCACAATCCTATAGGACATGACTTTGTACAATGTTTTGGAATAAGTGGAGGCTGGAAACGGTGGGACCAGTAAGAAAGGGGTGACTTATGAATGAGTGAAGGCTGGTGTAGTATGAAAAGGGAGAAATTTATCAGTTTAGCATGAGAAGGAAGGAGGAAATTGTACTTTGGCACCTGGAAAAAAAGGTAGTGAAAGTGAAAGCTAGAAATTGAAGGTCTTCAATTTGTTTTTCAGATGAGGGAGGAATTTCCAGCTTTTGTTGTGAGATATTTGGGAAAGGAAATACCACTATGCCTTCCTTAGTCATGCGTAGTTTGAAATGGGGGCAGGGCATTAGAGTAGGTGTGTCCAATGACTGGAAGGCCTGGAACTAAGTACAATGGGAGAAGCCAGGAATGGAGAAAGATTTATATTATTTATTTATTTTGGGGAAAGTTATCTATATATCCCTGCCTGTCTAGCATACTACTAAACATATAATAGGTATATAATAAATACTTACTGGTGAATATCCAATTAAAATATATGTTGAGCACCTGCTGTGTGCTAGGCACCATAGGGAGATATAAATAGATACAATACTGTCTGTGTCCTCAGGGAACCCAGGAAGACAAACACCATAATTTAAGTCTAACTCTCAAGAGAGTGGGCATTGAGCACAGTCCTTGAAACTTTTTTTGTGTTAAGGGGGACCACTTCCCCTGCTTTCGCAGTCTGGTGAAGCCCTTCTCAGAATAATATTGTTAAACTCGTAAAATTATATTAAAATGAAGATGTAATTTTTTTCCTGTCCACGTTCATGGACACCCTGAAATTTATCTAAAGATACATTTTTTTGGTTAAATGGTTCTTTGGTTAAGAACCCCTGATTTAGAGAGAGAAGAATCAAAATTGAGACTAAGAGAGCACTTAAGGAGCTTAACATTCTAGTTTTCCTTCCACATGATTGCCAAAGTGATTTTTCTTAAGCAGACAGTTGATCATGTCACTTCCTTACTCAACAAACTCTTGTTAAAAAAAAAAAACTCCTAAATTTTTTTTGTTTTTAACATTCATTTAAAAAAAAATTGAGTTCCAAATTATCTCATTCCCTCCAGGCCCTCCCCTCTCATTGAGAAGGCAAGCAAAACGATATCAATTATACATATGAAGTCAGGCAAAACATATTTTCATATTAGCCATGTTGCAAAACAAAAAAAAAAAGCCCACAATAAAAAGCAAGAAACATAAAGTAAAAAAAAAATATGCTTCATTATTTACTCAGCATTCATCAGTTCTCTTTCTGGAGGTGGATAGCATTTTTCATCATGGGTCCTTTGGAATTGTCTACTCAATAAACTTTTTAAAAAATTTTGTTCAGTATTTTATTTACCCTCCAATTACATGTAAAACAATTTTTAACATTTGTTTTTTTTTTTAAGTTTTGAGTTTCAAATTCCTTCCCTTCTTCCTCTCACCCCTCATTTAGAAAGCAAGCAATTTGATATAAGTTCCTAGTTGTACCTTAACTTATCAATATCCGTCATGAAGTATGCTCCTCAGAAATGAACACAATCCTCCAGATATGTTTGGACCAGGGCTAAAAAGAATGGGACTGTCACCTCTTTCATTCTGGATACCATGAGTATCTTAAGGCTGACTCCATAAATTTTTTGGCTACCACATAGCAAAAGAACACAGAAGTACTGAGCAAACTGTAATCAACAACCAAGAATAATCTACTGAGGCCAGAAATATCCTAACACCATTGGATATTATGCTGATTAGCATAGCTGATGCATAGGACCAAGGCAGAAGGATCCTTGGGACCCAAATGCCCTAGGCAAAACCAAGTAGAAGTCACAAGCCAGAAAATGCTATTACCTTTGAAGGCTCATGTTATCTTCCTTTAGATTTTTGTAGAAAATGAAAAAAAGATCAGATTAGAAATGATTTATGTTATATGAGAATTGGTTGAAGGACTAGACCTAAAGATGTTTTACCTAGAGAAAGACTTGTAAGGGACTTGCTTATTTGTTTGAAGGACTTTCGAGGCAGATTACAGATTAGAATTGTTTTTTAGAACCATGGTTGTTGTAAGGTAGTAAATCTGAGCACAGGATCAGGAAAACCTTTCTACTCATTAGAGCTATCCATAACTGGAGTAAGCACATCCCTTGAAGTCCTCAGAAGCAGAACCTTGATGATCACTTATTAAGGATTTTGTAGATAAGATTTTCATTCTGGTATTGTTTGAATTAGATGGACTTTGAGGCCTTCTGACCCTGAGATTCTCTTAAATTTCCATATACATGTATATTTCATATCCATACATTAGATCTCTTGTCCTTGGCCATTCTTCCATGGTCTTGAATGTAAATTTTATTTCTGATTATTTTAATATCATAGTTCGATCTTTACTCATAGTTACTACTAGCAGCTTACAGATACAGTTTCATTAAACAAGAGATTGCAAGCTGGTAGAAACACATTTATTATATATGTTATTTCAGATCTCTGTGTTTTTTTTTTTAACAGATAAACGAACTGAGTCTGCTTCTACAAGCAATGAGAAGACAAAAACTAATGAGATTTGCCTTTACTACATCTGGAAATTCTGCAAACAAAAAAGTGAGTTGCATTTGTAACAGAACAGTATGAAATAGCTCCCACTTTCCATCCTGATGTAAACTCACTCTATAGAATAGCAGTATAAATTGGCAGTTAAAAATAAACACAATTATTATAAACACAAACACATAATTATAAAATTAACACAAATTCTATTTTCCAAGTTTGAATTTTGAGAAATGCTGTTTTCTTTATTGTTGTTATCATCCTCTTGTGTCTTTTTAGAGAAGAGAGGACTAAAAGACAGACTCAATATTAAAAAACCTTTCAAGACTCAGGGGATTGAATCCAATTAAACCTAAGGTTTTGTGCCTGATTGGATATTATGTGTGTGTGTGTGTGCGTGTGTGTGCGCGTGCTTGAATAAGTTTCATTTTTGTGTACATATATTTTTTATTTATATACTTGAATACATTTTATTTTTAAAGAATTTGTTCACACATTTTTCTTGAGTTAATAGAAATTCTCTAAGAAATACTTAAACAACTCCTTCTACAACATATATTCTCTGAAAATAATTAGATAAAACTTGCTAATCAAGTCATTAGGGATGATGATATATGCCATTTTCTAATTTTGTTATTTACTCATTGTATAGTTTAAATATTTGGTGCCAACTCTGACCTTTTTCTGTCACTTTATCTCTCTGTGTTCCTGTCTGTCTCTGTCTCTGTTGACAGTGTGAACGTAAATTACAGCAAGGAAAGAGCAGGGCTCTTTCTTAACTCACTTTCTGCAGTTTCATCTTAAGGCACCCCAGAAATACAGGTCCCCACACAATAAGGGAACATTTAACATGTTCTTGTGTGTTACATTCCTGGGGCATACCCAATGCCATCTGCCCATGATCATGGAAACTTGATAAAGTAGCTAATGTCAAGATTTTTAAAATATAAGAATTCTTTAAGAAAGAGGCAATGAGGTATGGTGGAAGGAACACTGGAGTTGAAGGGATTTTTTAAAATAGATTTTTTATTGGCACATTTTTTTTTTAATCCTCTCCTACCCAGTAAGCCATCCCTTATAACAACAACAACAAAAATTCAGAAGAAGTAGGTCAGGAAACTAACCTTCATAGTTCCACCTTCTTTCCCCCCCCCCCCCCCATCTCTTCCTCAAGGGAAGGGAGGTACATTTTCTTATTATTTCTTCAAAGACAAACTTGCCAACATGAATTCTTGTCTGGATACTGTCTCTCGGTAACTGTGTTGTAGCCTTAGGTGCAGAGCTCTTAAATGATGCCCAGGTGTCCTCATTTGAAAAATGAGAATGAATTAGATAATTTTTAAAGTCTCTTCTAGCCCTAAATTGCTGGGAATTTATCATTTTTTTTCATTTTCATCAAAGAAAATCCAGCTTTGAAAAATGGGGTGGGTTGGTATTTATTAAGGTAATAATAAAAAAGAAAAATTTTAAAATAAGTATGGGGTGGGAAATCAAATGTCTTTTTACAGAGGAAAATAGGGTTATCTTTTTCATTCATTCATTCATAAAGAAGATAGAACATTATAAAACAAATTTTTTTATTTAAAAATGATTCATTTTATGTGCATTTATAATTTCCCTCCCACTCTTATCTCAATTGAACAACACAACAAAAAGAATTCCCCTGGTCTAAATATGAACTATATCATAATCATGCCTAGTCCAGCAAAACATTGGCAGTGCCTGAAAATGTATCTCTCTTTGCCTTTTAGTCCATTACCTCTCTGGAAGTGAGTGAGTTCATCATTCTGGACTACCGTTTATCATGGAATTGATCAGAGTTGTAAAATCTTTTGTTTTGCTTTATGATGTTGTTATTGTATAAATTGCTCCTCTAAGTCTGCCCACTTCATTCTAGATCAATTCATAGAGGTTTTCCAAAGATTTCCTCTGAAACTGTCCATTTTGTCATTTCTTATCTTCCAGTAATATTACATTTAGTTTATATAACATGATTTGTTTAGCCATTCCCCTAAAGACACACCCTTAGTTTCCAATCTTTGTCTACTATGAAAAGAGCCTCCATAAATACTTTTGTGCATGTAGTACATATACTACCTCTTTCATTGGTCTCTTTGGGGGAATAATGTGGTAGTGGTATAGCTAATGGATATGCACAGTTTAATAACTTTGGGGGCATAGTTATAAATTACTTTCCAGAATGACTGGACCAATTCATAGCTCCAGCAACAGTGTATTAATTAGTGCATCTGTTTTCCTGCAGCCCCCTCTAACATTTTCTCTTTTGTTATCTTTGCCAGTATGATAGTTATGAGGCAGAACCTCGAAGTTGCTTTAATTTGCATTTCTCTAATTATTAGTAATTTAGAGCACTGTATTTTAAGTAATTTTGTTTATAACTATGATCCCGAGTTACTGTGGAAAGATTATGTTTGGTAAACTATTTAAGAAGGTAAGGAAATTCATAATGCAAGATTAACTCCTAGAGACCAGGGACTACTTTACTTTGCTTTTTGTATCCCCACTGCTTAACCCAAAACCTTGCCAGAATAAGTGCACAAAAATAAAATTTTATAGATTGATGTTAGCCCAGAACCATGGAACTTTTCCTCCCTTCACATTTATTTCTTGTCAGATTTGATTAAATGAGGTAATGTAAAGAAAATGCTTTGCAATCTATGCTAGATAAATTTCTGTTATGATCATTATGTTGATACAGGTGTGTCATGCTTTTAGAAAACCCAATATGCAAAATTAAAAATTCGTAGAATAGATACTTTGATGCGTGGGATTATTTTAATTTCAAAAATAATTTCCCCCTTACTCTTTTAAAAAAATAATTCAGTCATTCAGTCAATAAACATGTTTTAAGCTCTTATAATGTTTCAGGCACTATGCTAAGCATGTGGGATAGGGGAGTGGTTGAACCAGGTGATGATAGAGAATTCCAATGGAAGGTAACTGGATCAGAAATGAAGAGGTGGCTGGCCTGAGTGCTTTTCTTAAATGGAAGCTTTGGCAGGAGCTCTTTGTCCCACCCTCCAATCAGGGTAAAGGTAGAGGTAAAGGTCTTAGGGTAGAGGGTACTGATGAGTTATGAGCACCAAGGCTAATGAAATCTTTTGGGACAATGAGGCTCCTGGGAACACGATGGAGAAGTCCAAAGTAGCACAGAATTCCTTTAAAAGTAAATTTCCCCAACTGTTTATTCCAGCTAAAGAGGCCACTTGCTATTTATTCCCCATGTATAACAGTCTACCTCTTACTTCTGTGCCTTTGAATAGGCATGTATCTGTATTCCATGCCTGGAAAACATTTACTTTGCTCCTCTCACAATTAGGATTTGAAAATTTCTTCAAAGCTTGGCTCAAATGCTTCCCCTTATCTCCATCTCTCTCCCAAGTCCCTGACTTCTTTTAAATCCCACCTTTTACAGGAAGTCTTCCCCAACTCTCCTTAATTCCAGTGCCTTTCTTACTAATTATTTCTTATTTACCCTATATATGGCTTGCTTTGTATGTTGTCTCCTCCATTAGATTATAAACTCCTTGAGGGCAGGGAGTCTTTTGCCTCTTTTTGTATCCCCAGTGCTTAGCACAATGCCTGGCACATTTGTGGTTCAGTTGTTCAGTTGTGTCTGACTCTTTGTGACCCCATGGATCATGGAGTTTTCTTGACAAAGATAGTTTCATTGATCTAGGAGATACCTGGCACGTAGTAAGCACTTAATAAAATGTTTATTGATTAATTGATTGATGGTGTCCCTTCCTTCATTCATTTGTGCATATTTTGTACATATTTCTATGTATATATGTTGTACCCCAGTCCCCCAGTAGAATGTAAGCTCTTGAGGGCAAAGATTGTTTAGTTTTTGTCTCTGTATTCCCAGTGCTTATTATGCTATGGTATCTGGCACCCAGTAAGCTTTTAATGAATGCTTGTTGAATGAATGAATGAATTTAAAATAAGATTTAATTTACCAAGAAAAAAAGGATTTCTATTCAGATTTTCCAGAACATGTTTATCCCAAGTGGGGTATATTTATATAAAACATTATACCATGCTGCTTCATCAAAGTGGGAGAATTTGGAAATAGCATTTCATTTTGAGTCAAATGTTCAAGTCCAAATTCTCATGCTGTATTTGCTGTGAGCTGGGTGACCTTGAGCAAGTTATTTGAACTTTCTAAGCTTCCCTTTCCACTTCTCTAAAGTGTGTATTAGGAGGCTAGGTGATTCAGAGGAGGTGGCACAGTGGATAGAGTGCTGGGCCTAGAGTTGGGAGGACCTGAGTTCAAACCTAGCCTCAGTTACGTACTAGCTATGTGACCCTGGGCAAGTCACTTAACCTCTGTTTGCCTCAGTTTGCTTAACTGTAAAATGGAGACCCTGGAGAAGGAAATGACAGACTTCTCCGTGGATTACCTATCAAACGAATTCCTATGAGGACAGAATCAGATAATGGATATAAGGTGCCTTTTTACCATAAATAATAATGAAAAATGATATTATTACTTATTCGTCTGACTGTCTTATACTCAAAGGACAGCACATAGTCATATTCCTGTTTATTCTTTAGTAGTTCTCACATTTATTTTCTCTTCTTACAGTCTAATAGTATTTTATGTTCTTTGGGGATTTCATTTTCTTTACAGATAACTGCAGGAATATTCATTACAAGTTGCCTTACCGATGGCAAAAGTTGGATGGCACTGTTTGGAATGATCTTCCCATGATGGAAGGGATTGAAAAAATCTATTGTGACCCAAAGAACTCCAGGTAAGTTGAGATTTGCATCCTTTTTCCTAAGCTCCAGAGTAGGACCAAATGTGAAAGCCCAAAATATATTCCCAGTTATATTCCTTTAGATTTTGGTGGTATTGAATCATAGAAAAGACCTAGTGAATACTGCTCAACTTCTCATGGATGAAAAGACAGAATGTGGCTACATTTGACAAGGATGGTTTCAATTTGTTGAGGTGACTTTTCCAATTTGGAAGAGCTATGTATAACCTTATAATTCATACTACTTGGGTAAATCCTAACAACTGGAAAAGAAATAGTTTTTTTTTCATGGTTTTCTTTTCTTTGGTCTGTGTCTTCTTTCATAAAATGACTAATACAGAAATGTTTTACATGGTTACACTTGTATAACCTATATCAAATTGCTTACTGTCTAAGGGAGAGGGGAGGTGAGGGAGGAAGGGAGAGAATTTGAAACTGAAATTTTTTTTAAAATGTTAAAAATTGTCTTTACATGTAATTGGGACAAATACTATTAAAAAACAAAAAATACAGTTTTTTAAAAAAATTCAGATTTTAAACTTATTCATTGTATCAGGTAACAGATTCACTCTGATGTTGAAACAAGGTCCATAAATTTTATCTAAATAGTATGCTGGCCACTTGACTACCTGGGCAAATCACCTAACCTGAATTTTTTTTCGTACTTGGGGATAATAATATTTACAATACTTTACTCAGTGAACACAGCGCTTTGTATACCTTCAATATTTCTTACACCTGAAATATTTTGTTCATGGGAGCTATTGTTGTCATTTGATACTTTTGAGGTTAATTCCAAATGTGAATAATCTAGCTACTAAGTAGTTACTATTTGACCAGCAATGTACTAAATGTAACTCTGAAGGAATAATTCAGATTTAGTTTATGAAGTGCTTTACATATAGTTTAATTTTTTTTCAAAATATCTTTTATTTTTATCTCACCTTCATTTTGCAAACATATCCTCCCCTCCCTCGCCCGCCCCCAAAATATCAATTCCTTGTAACAAAGAATAAAAAAGGAAAGAGAAAGAATTTTGTTCAACAAAATCAACCAACGTGTTTATTGTGAATGGCAGTAGATGTAATATTCTACCCCATTGTTCACCTCTTCTAAAAAGAAGAGAAAGAGGTGCTGTGAACCAGCTGTCCAGGGCCCTTTTTCTCTGATTCAGGTGGAGAATTCCCAATTTTTACTTGCTTTGAGGTGAGAGAGAAAGTGAACTTCCTATAGGAAGGAATCCACAAAAGGCTCTTTATTCTGTCGTTTCACTCTAGGTCTATAACCCCATATCTGTAGTTACTCTTTGAGAAGTACCGTTGATAGCTATCCTAGACTAGGTGTTTCAGGCAGCCTTTTCTACCCTTTTTTCATCTGGAATGCTCAAAGCCTTAGGCCTGGTGATTGGGACTATACTTTCTCCTTTTTCTGTGTTCTCCTGAAAGGAGACATTATTTTTCCTCTAAATTTAGGGATAGGGACCAGACTTGTGACTTTATTGGTATAAGATGTTCCCAGGTGAGGAAACTCTACAAATGCAGGCTGGAAATTTCTTGTCAACTTATAGTCTTAGAGATTTGCTTGGAGACACTGAGAGGTTAGGTGATTTTCCTAGTACATATCAGAGGCAGGACCTGAACCCAGGTTTTCCTGATTCTAAGGCTAGCTCTCTGTCCACTACCCCAAGCTGCTTCTCATTATTAAACTGCCATTATTATCATATCACCCTGTCTCTTCTACCAGGGAGGAGATGGCATGATTAGACGTTAATTTCTTTGAGTTAAGCATTGCATTGCTGCCTAGAGAAGAAATAAAGCTAGTTATTCTGCTCCAGGGAAAGGCACCTTAGGTCAATTGATTCTAAAAGTTACAGGGTTCCCCCAGTTAAGTTCAAGAGGGGAACTTAGAACCTACTTTTCTTCCTTACTTTATAGGTTAGGATTTTACACATTTATCACAATACATTCAAGATTTGAGAGATAATTTACTATGACAATTTTTCTTCTCTCCTGTTTAGATATGTTTCCCCAGCCCCATCTCCCTCTTCTCCCTCGTACGTCAGTCTCCTGTTCAACTTGGCCCTTGGTCTTCCGCCTCTTTTCCCAAATGTTGGAGTCCAGTGAGTAATGATTATTCTGTTTTCATCCTCATCAGTTCTCATGGTAGAAGACTTACTGAGTGATGAAGAGAGACTAAATAGACAGTAGAGAATCTTCAGGAGGTACCATTCCTCCTTCTTTCCTCCCATCCTCAACCACTTACAGCCAAGATTGGCACAACTGCCAAAGACACAACATTGCTAGGCACAAAACAACAAAGAATGGTGGAAGGAAAGCCCAAAGCCCCAAAATTATATTCTTTAGTTTTTGTTTGTCTTATAATTTACCAAAATGTAGGGCTCTCATCTAAAGATCATTGAGTTAAAATACAACTGCAGAAAAGGTACCATGTTAATATTGACATTCTTACTATAAGTGAAACTAAAAAACAAGGAAATTCCTGCTAAATGGCAGGATGGTTTATAGTTTTTTCCTTAGGTAAGCAAATAAAAAGAATGAAAAAAAGAGAAGAAAATGGGAAATGTCTTATTGGCAAAACAACTGACCCAGAAAATGAATTGAGGAGAGATAATTTAAAAATTATGGGGCTACCTGAAAGCCATGATAAAAAAAAAAGCATAGACATCATATTTCAAGAAATTATCAATGAAAACTGCCTTGATATCTAAGTTCCAGAGGGAAAAATAGAAGTTAAAAGAATCCATGGATCACCTCTCAAAAGGAAAACTCTCAGGAATATTATAGCCAAATTCCAGAGCTCTCAGATTAAGGAGAAATGATTATAAGCAATGAGAAAGAGACCATTCAAATATGAAGCCCCGGTCAGGATCACACAAGATTTAGCAGCTTCCATGTTAAAGGAGCAGAGGGCTTGGAATATTATATTCTAGAAGGCAAAAGAGCTAGTATTACAACCAAGAATCACCTACCCAGAATCCTTCAGGGCAAAAAGTGGACATTCAATGAAATAGAAGGCTTTTAAACATTCCTGAGGAAAAGATCAAAACTGAAAAGAAAATTTGATCTTCAAACACAAGACTCCAGAGAAACATGAAAGAGAAATCATAAAGGACTTAATAAGGTTAAACTATTTACGTTCCTATATGAGAAGATGATACATGTAATACCTAGGAATTTTATCATTATTAGGACAGTTAGAAGTTGTCTACATAGGGCATGGATGTGAGTTGATTATGTTGGTATGATCTAAAAAAAATAAATGAGTGAGAAAGAGGGCAGCACTGAGAAAGGGACAGAAAGAATGAGGAAGATTACCTCACATGAAAGAGGCTTGAAGAAAGAGCTTTTATGGAGGAGGGGGAAATGGAGGTAGGTGGGTAATGCTTAAATCTCACTCATCAGAACTGGTTCAAAGAGTGAAGACTATCTATCCATCTATCTGTCTGTCTGTCTGTCTGTCTATCTATCTATCAAAGTAGATATAGATATATCACACTCATGTGGGTATGGAAATCTATCTTATCTAATAGGGAAGAAGGAGGGGAGGGGGATAAGAGAAATGAGGAGATAATAAAAGGAAGGGCAGATTAAGGGAGACAGTGGTTAGAAGCAAAACAGACTTTTGAGGAGGGAAAAGGTAAAAAGAGAGGTGGATAAACAGAAGAAAATAAAATGGAGGGAAATACATAGTAATAATAACTAAATGTGAATGGGATGAATTCACCCATAAAATGGAGGTGGATAGTGGAATGGATTAGAAACCAGAATCCAACAATAAGTTGTTAACAAGAAACATTATTTGAAACAGAGAAATGGTCATAAGAGTTAAAATGTCTAGACCAGAATCTATTATCCTTCAACTGAAGTAAAAAAAGCATGAGTAGCAATCATAATCTCAGACAAAGCAAAAGCAAAAATAGGTCTAATTGAAAGAGATAATCAGGGTAACTATATTTTGCTAAAAGATATAGACAATGAAGTAATATAAAAATTTTTTATAGGATGTTTCTCTGTTAAAGGCTTCATTTCTCAAAAATATAAGGAACTTGTCAAATTTATAAAATAAGAGCCATCACCCTGTTGATAACTGGTCAAAGGATATAAACAGGCAGTTTTCAGAAGAAGGAAATCAAAACTATCTATATTCATATTTTTTAAATGCTCTAAATCATTGTTGATTAGAGAAATGCAAATAAAAATAACCCTGAGGTACCACCTCACACCTATCAGATTGGCTAACATGACAGAAGAGGAAAATGACAAGTCCTAGAAGGAATATGGAAAAAGTCATACACTAGTGCACTGTTGGTATAGTTGTGAACTGGTCTGACCATTCTGGAGAACAATTTGGAACTATGACCAAAGGACTACAAAACTGTGTATACCCTTTGACCCAGTAATACCATTACTAGGTCTGTATCTCAAACAGATAAAAGAAAAAGAAAAAAAGGACCCATATATACAAGAATAATTATAGCAGCTCTTTTTGTGATGGCAAAGAATTGGAAATTGAGGGGATGCCCATCAATTGGAGAGTGGCTGAACAAGTTATGGTATATGATTGTAATGGAATACTATCGTGCTATAAGAAATGAGGAGGGGGATGGTTTCCAAGAAACTTGGGAAGTCTTCTATGCACTGATACAAAGATAAGTGAGTAGAACCGGGAATTCATTGTACACAGTAATAGCAATGTTGTAACATCTGTGTAACAACTGTGAAAGATTTGCTACAGTAATCAATACAATAATCCATGGTAATTCTGAAGGGTTTAGAATGAAAAACGCTATCCCACCTCCAGAGAGAGAAAGAACTGATGAACTCTGAATGCAAATTGAAATATAATTTTCTCACTTTATTTTTCTTGTTTTTTGGGGGGGAGGGAGATGACATCTCTAATATCGAAATGTGTCTTCCATGATTTTACATGTATGATTGCTATCATATTGCTTGCCTTCTCAATGGTTGGGGGAGGGTCTGGAGGAGGGAGTTTGGAACTCTAAATTAAAGAAAGAATAATATTGGAAATAAATATGAAAATTTTAAAGCAATAACAAAATATATATGTATATAGTGAGCCATAAGCAAGATAAATAGAATAATTAAGAGGAAAGGCAATGGAATTAACACTTCCCATCAAAGGTAGGATTTTACTTGGGACTTAAAAGAAGTCAGGGATGTCAGTGGTTGGAGTTGAGGAGGAATGGAGGATAGCTAGAGAAAATGCCCAGAGCCTAAAGATAGAGTGCCTTGTTCATGGGACAGCCAGGAAGCCAATGTCACTAGACTGAAGAGTATATCTTGGGGAGTAAGATGTAAGAAGTCTGGAAAGGTAGGAGGGGGATAGGTTATAAATGAATGCCAAAAACCATTTTGTATTTACTCATAGAGGCAACAGCAAGTCAGTGGAGTTTTTTGAGTAGTGGGGAGACATGATTGGACTTGCACTTTAGGAAAATCACTTTAGTGACTGAATGGAGGATGGATTGGAGTGGAGAGAGACTTGAGCCAGGAAGACTCACCAGCAGGCTACTTCAATAGTCCAGATATGAGATGAGGAGGGCCTGTGCTCGAGTGGTGGCAGAGTCAGAGGAAAGAAGGAGACATAATTCAAGAGGTGTTGCAAAGATGAAATAGGCAATCCTTGGCAACTGCTTGGATATGGAGGGTGGGGGTGGTAAGAGAGAGTGAGGAATTCAGGATGATTCCTAGGTTGTGAACCTGAGGGATTTGGAGGATAGTACTTCCCTCTGCAATTATAAGGAGGGGAAGAGGGGGGAAAAGTTTGGGAGGAAAGATAATGAATTCTGTTTTGGACATAGTGAATTTAAGATGTCTGCTGGATGTCCAGTTTAAGATGTCTGAAAGGCAGTTAGAGATGCAGGATTGGAGGTCAGCAGAGAGACTGGTGCAGGAAAGCTATGATTTTACCATCATCAGCATAGAGCTGGCAGTTACATCCATAGGAGCTGATAAGATCCCCTAATGAAGTAATATCGAGAGAGAAGAGAAGAGGGTCCAGGACACCTACAGTTGGGTGGCACAGTATATAGAGTACTGGAATTGGAATCAGGAAGACTTGAATTCAAATTCTGCCTCAGATACTTCATAGCTATGTAACCCTGGACAAGTTGCTTAACCTCTTACCTGCAGATTACCTGTAAAATGGGATAATAATAGCACCTACCTCAGAAGGTTGTTGATCAGAGTTTTTAAAGCTTTCAAAGTTGTTTTTCTGTACAACATTATTGATAATGCATCATTTATTTGCCTGCTTCTGCTAACTTCACTCTGCATTAGTACATGTCTTCCCAAATTTCTCTGAAACTGTCCCTTTCATCATTTCTTATGGCACAAAAATATTCCATTACATTCACATCCTATAATTTATTCAGCCATTCTCCACTTGATGAGCACTCCTTTAGTTTCTGGTTCTTTGCCACTACAAAAAGAGCTACTATAAATATTTTTGTGTATCTTGTTCCTTTCATGTTTTCTGTTCTTTTTGTGATGTAGACTTAGTAGTGATATTACTTGGCTAGTTTAGTGACTTTTAGGTCATGTTTCTAAACTGCTTTCTAGGATGGCTAGACCAATTCATAGTTCTTCCAATGGTAAGTATGCTATTATGTTTATTTTCCCACAGCCCCTCTAATAATTGTCATTTTCCTTTTTTGGTATTTTTGTTAATCAAATAGGTATGAGATGGAATCTCAGAGATGCTTTAATTTGAATTTCTCTAATTGTGATTTGGAACATTTTGTATATGGTTGTTAAGAACTTGGTTTTCTTCCTCTGATAACCACCTGCTTATATCATTTTATCATTTAGCTATTGGGGAATGGTGCTTGTTCTTATATATTTGAATAAGTTCCTTGTATATCTTAGATATTATATCTTTATCAAAAATACGCTGCAAAAATTTTCCCTCCAGTTAACTATTTCCCTTCTAATTTTAATTCCATTAGTTTTGTTTGTGCAAAGATATTTCCTTCCTCTCTTCCCTAATTTGTTTATTATGTGACCTTTTAAAATCTAAATTGTTTCTTCATTTGGAGCTTATCATGGCATATGGTGTGAAGCGTGTGTCTAAACCTAATTTATACCAGACTGCATTCTGGTTTTCTCAACAGCTGTTATTAAATAGGGAATCTTTTTCTTCTATATTGTACTTAATCTGTTTCCCTGAATGATCTCTCTATTTTTTAACCAATATAAATAGTTTTGATCATTCCTGCTTTGTAATACAGTTTGAGATCTGGTACTTCTGGACCCTCTTTCTTCCCACTTTTCCCTCTATTATTTACCTTGAGATACTTGATCTTTTGTTCCTTTAGATGAAGATGGCTATCATTTTTTTTCTAGCTCTATAAAGCAATGCATTGATAGTTCAATTGGTATGGCTCTGCATAAGTACATTTAGGTAATATTGTCATTTTTATTATATTTGAACAACAACCACTAGTAATTAACATTTCTCTATTTGTTTATGTTTATATTTCTATAAATAGTGTTTTGTCATTGTGTTTTGTATAGTTCTTGTTTGTATCTTGGTAGGTCAACTCTCAAATGTTTTATACAATCTGTATCTATTTTGAACAGAATTTCTCATCCTATTTCTTCTTGCTTGGTTTTGTTGGCAACACACAGAAATGCTAATGATTTATGTAGGTTTATTTTATATCTTACGTCTTTACTAAAGTTGTTGTTTCCATTAAATTTTTTTTTTGGTGAGGCAGTTGGGGGGGGGGTGGTTAAGTGACTTGCCCAGAGTCACACAGCTTGTAAGTGTTATGTGTCTAAGGCCAGATTTGAACTCAGGTCCTCCTGACTCTAGGGCTGGTACTCTATCCACTGTGCCACCTAGCTGCCCCTTGTTTCCATTAATTTTAGTGGCCGTTTTAGAGTTAATAAATTTTTGTTGAATTCAATTGAATTTGAGCTTTATCCAGATGCTTAGAGAGATATGCCCACACATGAAGATACTGATTATACATTAAAGGTAGCTCTGTTGTTTCCCATGCATACAAAGGCACATTTTTAATATACTGAACCATCTATTTTAAAAACCCGTTCTGCTTCATTTCTGTAGAATGGGAGATCTGGACATCAATTTTGAGACTATGACCTGCGGTTTGAATCAAGTGCGTCGTTTATCTACCCCCTCCTCGGTCACCAAACCTTCCAATATTCTCTTAACCACAACATGGCTCTGGTATTGGATGAATGACAATGGTCAGTGGATTGAATATGGATCCCAGGTAAGTGGCTATTCATCTGATTTGTTTTTTGTGAGGTTTTCACTGGGTTATTAGATTGGGTCGACATGTGAAGATCAGTTTGATATTCATCCAAGCCAGCTGGGAGAAATTAATATTCTCTGTTTGTGTGTGTGTGTGTGTGTGTGTGTGTGTGTGTGTGTGTGTGTGTGTGTGTGTTACATAACAGTTTTGCAGAGAGTCCTTCTGAATGTATCCTGCATGGAAAGTTCCCTTTTGTCCAGTTTCTTATAGCTTTATAATACCTTAACTAGAAGTTTTATTTTTCTTTGCTACTTTCCAACTTGGGATAATGGTTTTTTGTTGTTGTTTTTTTCTAACTTTTGGATAAAACTAAGGTGAATGAGGACATGACTCCATGTCTGGCACATCTATTTCCAATTAAACTTCAGTGATATCGCCTGGATATCAGTCACATTTGGAAAAGAGAAAGTCATCAGCTATATAGATAGATCAAATAAACTATAGGCTTAAGAAATGTCAGTCAGTTATTTGTAGAGGGAGCTCAGTTTATAGCAGTTGTCAAACTTGGAAAAGTATTTAGGGAACTGAATAGTCATTTGCTTTACTTTCTCTGCTTCCTGGGAATCTAATATGGGTCAGATCAGTCTGTGGTTCCCAGAGAAGTGTGGGTTATACTTGGTGTAAATAGCCCTGGAATGCTACTCAATCTGAAGCTATCTGACTACCTAAGAGGCATCTCTGGTATAGTGAAAGAGCAATGGGCATTGGTTTGGTAGAGACTTGAGTTTTAATTGTACTTCCTACACCATGGATAAGCCATTTAAGTTCCTAGTTTCCTTATCTTTGACAAGGGGAGTAACATGTTAAGGTCTTGTATTGTACATGATAGAAAGGTAATTGTAGGTTTTATTATTGGATAGGTTTTATTATTAGACAGGCCAGTCGATGAGCTAATAGAAGCCACTATATTTCTTTGTCTATTGCATGATAGAGTTGCCTACTAGTATAAGAAATGAGCTAGGGAACCTACTTTCTTACTTCTTGTTAATTTTTTTTAAATCAGTAGTTACAAAACAGAGTCAAAATGGCAGAATGAGAAGATGAATATTTGCCTAGCTCACCTAGCACATTTTCTCCAAAACAACCTTGAAAATGCCCCAGACTGAATTCTAATGAGGAAAGCCAAGAAAAGTTATAGTGAGTCATTTTTTAAGCCCAGGGAGACAGAGAGATCTGTGAACACCAGGCACAGGTATTAACCAGAAGCAAGCTACCCAGTGACAACAATCATTCTAATGCCCAGGGATGGAAAGTGGGTTGAGACAAAACACAAGAGGAAAAAGCACCAGGGAAGAAAGAGATCTTAGGGGATCCCTGAACTAGCACTGGGAGCAGAAACAGGTGCTATCTGGTAGCTATGTCATCCATTACCCACTATCAGGTCACAGATCCAGGGTAGAGAGGAGTGGTCATGGGTGAGGAGGGTGAGGCTAGCTGTGTACTGAGCAAGGAACAAGTTCCAAAAATGTGACTGTGTAGCTCTGAGTCCAGGAGTAGAGCTGACACAAAGTTCTAGCCTAGCACATAAGCCTGCAGTGGAATAATCAGGGCAGCATTTCCAGACCAAAGGGCAGTGGGTGGTTCAGTCACTTTGAACCTACAGAACCTTCCAGCATACTAATGATGACTGAGTCAATTAGCAGTCTATGTAAATTCAACTACACACAAGCCAACAGACCCAAATCTTCATCAGGAACTTGCAGAGGTAAGACCAAGAGGGCAGTGAATAGACTTCTCCCCAGATTATACCACTTTGGGAGCATTGAAAATATCCAGGCCCCCCAGTTAGAGCTGTGAAAGCATCAGAAGTTTTTAAAAGGTTAGAAGCTCAAACCAGACATCTTCCCTGCCCCCCAGAAGTACAGAGAGTCCGTATAAACATAAAAGCCAAAGTCAAGAAGTAGGCAGAAGAAAAAAACAAAATCAAAAACAAAAAAACAAAAAAAAAAACCCTGACCATAATGAGTTACTATGGTAACCAAGCTCAAGACACAAACTCAGAAGAAAACAATGACTTATAAACATATACAAGCAAAGCCTCAAAGAAAAATTCAAATTGGATACAAGCTCAACAAGAATTCCTAGAAGAATTAAAGAGTCTTTAAAAGAACAAAAATAATTGATTTGAAAAACTAAATAAGAGTGGTAGAAAAACGTAAGAAAAGAAACGAGAACTATACAGGAAAGATGTGAAAAAAATTAACATTTAAGCTTTGGGGGAAAAGAATTGAAATAATTTTTAAAACTTGGTTAAAAAATTAACAATTAAGTTTGATAAAAGAAGTGCTAAATGTTATTGAAAAAATAACTCCTGAGACGGAGGGGGGATCCAGCCTCTGATCAGAGGGGGATTGCAGGTATCTCTTTGCTGGTAATGAGGCACAATTCTCTTGCTTTGCCCTTGCTTGGATCTGAGTCACAGTTCTGGGTGGCAGTCCTGGGGTGAGGAGGAGTGCTGGCATGGTGGAGTTTGTGGAGGCAGTGGAGAGGGAATCCTCCTTATAGTGCCAAGGCAGAAAAGAGTGCTTGTGGTCACTCATAGACCAGAGCACAGACCAGAAAAGGAGTAAACACCTTGCCTTTGATCATAACACCTTGGAAGAACTGAAAATTTATAGGTCCCTAGAAGTACTTCTGAAAACAGCTGCACAAAACCCCTGAAGCTTGGGATAGTATATTCTCCACACTGGAAACAGACCCTACCTTAACAAAGAGTTACATAGTCATGTAACGGGCTGGGATCATGAGCAAACAGCACAAAAAAAGTCAGACTATAGAATCTTATTTTGGTGACAAAGAAGATCAAAACATACAACCAGAAGAAGACAACAAAGTCAAAGCCTCCAAGAAAAATATGAGTTGGTCTCAGGTCATAGAAGAGCTCAAAAAGAATTTTGAGAAGCAAGTTAAGAGAAGTAGAGGAAAAACTGGGAAGAGAAATGAGTGATGTAAGAAAATCATGAAAAAGAAGTCAACAGCTTGCTAAAGGAGATCCAAAAAAAAAAAAAATACTGAAAAAAATAACATCTTAAAAAATAGGCTAACTCATATGGTAGAAGAAGTCCAAAAAGCTAATGAGGAGAAGAATGCCTTAAAAAGCAGAATTGGCCAAAAGGAAGTCCAAAAGTTCACTGAAGAAAATACTTCCTTAAAAATTAGAATGTAGCAAATGGAAGCTAATGACTTTATGGGAAATCAAGAAACTATAAAACAAAACCAAAAGAATGAAAAAAATAGAAGACAATGTGAAATATCTCATTGGAAAAACAACTGGCCTGGAAAACAGATCCAGGAGAAATAATTGAAAAGTTATTGGATTACCTGAAAGCCATGATCAAAAATAAAAAAAAAACCTAGATATTATCTTTCCAGAAATTACCAAGGAAAACTGTCCTGATATTCTAGAACCAGAGGGTAAAATAGAAATTGAAAGAATCCACCAATCACCTCCTGAAAGAGATCCCCAAAGGAAAAGTCCTAGGAATATTATAGTCAAATTCCAGAGTTCCCAGGTCAAGAGAAAATATTGTTTTGTTTTGTGTGTGTGTGTGCGTGTGTGTGTGTGTGTTTTGTGAGGCAATTGAGGTTAAGTGACTTGCCCAGAGTCACACAGCTAGTTGAGTGTTACGTATCTGAGGCCAGATTTGAACTCAGGTCCTCCTGACTGCAGGACTGGAGCTCTATCCACTGCGCTACGTAGCTGCCCCTCAATGAGAAAATATTGCAAGCAGCCAGAAAGAAACAATTCAAGAACTGTGGAAAAACAATCAGTATAACACACGATTTAGCAGCTTCTACATTAAGGAATTGGAGGGCTTGGAATATGATTTTCTGGAGGTCAAAAGAGCTAGGATTAAAACCAAGAATCACCTACCCAGCAAAACTGAGTATAATCCTTCAGGGGAAAAAATGGGCATTCAGTGAAATAGAGGACTTTCAAGCATTCTTGATGAAAAGACCAGAACTGAATAGAAAATTTGACTTTCAAATACAAGACTCAAGAGAAGCATGAAAAGGTAAACAAGAAAGAGACCTTTCTCAGAATTAGGGTAGTTGGAAGTAATATATATAGACAGAGGGCACAGGGTTATTTGAATATGAAGAGATGATAGCTAAAAAATAAAGTTAAGGGGTGAGAGAGGATTGTACTGGGAGAAGGAGAAAGGGAAAGGTAGAATGGGATAAATTATCTCACATAAAAGAAGGAAGAAAAGCTTTTACCATGGAGGGGAACAGGGGGGAGATGACAGGGAATGAATGAATCTTACTCTCATTGGATTTAGCTTAAGGAGGGAATAACATACACACTCAATTGAGTATGGAAATCTATTTTACCCTATAGGAAAGTAGGGGGGAAGGGTATAAGAAAGGGGAGCATGATAGAAGGGAGGGCAGATTGTGGGAGGGGATAATCAGAAGCAACTACTTTTGAGGAGGGACAGGGTCAAAGGAGAGAATAGAATAAATGGGGGGGTGGGATAGGGTAAAGGGAAATATAGTTAGTTTTTCACAACATAGCCATTATGGAAGTGTTTTGCAAGACTACACTGTATCGAGTGCTTGACTTCTCAGTGAGGATGGGAGGGCAGGGAGGAAAGGAGAGAATTTGGATCCCAAAGTTTAAAAAAAATGTTAAAAATTGTTTTTACATGCAACTGGGAAATAAGATATACAGGCAATGGAGTATACAAATCTATCCTACCCTACAGGAAAATAGAAAAGGAAGGGGATAAGAGGAGTGGGGGGTTGACAGAAGGGAGGGCAGATCAGGGGAAGGGGTATTCAGAATGCATTCCATCTTAGGGTGGGGGGAGGGGAGAGATGGGGAGAAAATTTGAAACTCAAAATCTTGTGGAAGTGAATGGTAAAAACTAAAAATAAATTAATTAATTAAAATTTTAAAAAAATAACTGCTTGAAAATTAGAGTATACCAAATGGAAACTAATGACTCCATGAA